CTAGATCAGTCTACGATTCTCTCGAAAATTCGAATACCGCTTGGATAATTTTTTTCGTTTATAATAGAAAATATATATATTAAATTATTAATAAATTTAGATACTATATTACACGAAATGAAGAACGGATTTTACCTCGAATACGCAGTCCCGGTAGCTAACATCACCATACGCCATCACACGTATGTCACTGAAAATACCACGCGTTGATGATCGAATCAGCGCATATTGTCACATGCAGCGCACCAACATCATATTTAGTCGCAAACCTTCCATTTTTCTTCCTTAATTTAATTTTTTTTCTTTTTTTTTCTTTTCTTTCAATGTTTTTTTCTTTCTTTTCTTTTTTTTTTCTCTTTTTCTTTTCTTTCTTTTTTTTCTCTTTTTTTTTTCTTTCTTTTTTTTCTCTTTTTTTTCTTATCTTTTCTTCTTCTCTTTTTTTTCTTTTCATTCCTTGTTCTTCCTTTTTCATTCCTTCTTCTTCTTCCTCCTCTTTTCCTGTAGCTTTCTTTTTTTTTTTTCTTTCTTCTTTCTTTTTCCTTTTTTCTTCTTCTTTTTCTTCTTTTTCTTCTTCTTTTTCCTTTCTTCTTTTTTCTACTTCTTCTTCTTTCTTTTTCTTCTCCCCCTCTCTCTTTCTCTCTTTACTCGACAATGTCTCTTCTGTCTCTCCTCTTTTCTCTTTCTCTCCTTTTTTCTCTCTCTAACCAACGGTGATTGCTCTCATCTTTCTTTTTCTTTCGGTTGCGGTGTCGCGCAACACCGCACGACCCCTCTCTCTCTCGATCGTCGACGCGGCTCAAGCCTTTCTCTCCTCTCACCGTCATGTCTCTCTCTCCTCACTTTTTCCTCTCTTTTTTTGCTTTTTTTTTCTCTTTTATTTCATTACATATATATATTTTTGCTTCTTGGTTTGTTCTCATTCTCTCTACATTCTTCTTTTTTTTTAATTATATATACATACATATATATATGTATATATATTTGCCATGGTTTGTTTGTGCTCCAAGAGGTGTACACACCTCTAGGTCTTTCTTTTTTTTTTATCTTTTTTTTTCATTTCTAATTAATTAATACATATTATATTTTTTTTATTTTCTTTTGTTTTTTTTTCTTTTTCTTTTGTCCCATTATAAATATGTTGCAATTATATATATTTATGTATACATAGATATATATGCTGCCTGGATATTACAACACCCCCCCCCCTCCTCCCCCAAAACAATTTGGTCCTCCAAATTGCATGTCAAGGAATTGGAATCACTTATCTCCCTACTTGGGGAATTGTTTTGTTAGGAGAGATTTTTCTCTCACTAGGGAGATGTCTATCTCTATTGGAAAATTTTTGTCACT